TTCAAAGTTCAGTTCACACTTGTTCAAAATGAATAGTTCACGTTCATAGTTCACGATTTTAATTTTGAACTAGTTCAAAGTTCAGTTCATTTTATATTTAGGTGAGGTCTGTAAATGAAAGGCTGCTTTTATTTTAGACTAAACCAGGTCTAAATCAGGACTGAACCAGGTCTAAACCAGAACTGAACCAGGTCTAAACCAGAACTGAACCAGGACTAAAAAAGAACTGAACCAGGACTAAAAAAGAACTGAACCAGGACTGAACCAGGTCTAAACCAGGAATAAACCAAGACTAAACCAGGACTGAACCAGGACTAAACCAGAACTGAACCAGGACTAAACCAGGTCTAAACCAGAACTGAACCAGGTCTAAACCAGAACTGAACCAGGACTAAAAAAGAACTGAACCAGGACTGGTCTAAACCAGGAATAAACCAAGACTAAACCAGGTCTAAACCAGGACTGAACCAGGACTAAACCAGAACTGAACCAGGACTAAAAAAGAACTGAACCAGGACTGAACCAGGTCTAAACCAGGAATAAACCAAGACTAAACCAGGTCTAAACCAGGACTGAACCAGGACTAAACCAGAACTGAACCAGGACTAAAAAAGTACTGAACCAGGACTGAACCAGGTCTAAACCAGGAATAAACCAAGACTAAACCAGGTCTAAACCAGGACTGAACCAAAATTGAACCAGGTCTAAACCAGGACTGAACCAGGACTAAACCAGAACTGAACCAGGACTAAACCAGGTCTAAACCAGAACTGAACCAGGACTAAAAAAGAACTGAACCAGGACTGAACCAGGTCTAAACCAGGTCTAAACCAGGTCTAAACCAAGACTAAACCAGGACTGAACCAGAATTGAACCAGGTCTAAACCAGGACTGAACCAGGACCAAACCAGGACTAATCCTAGACTAGAACTTGGAATCTAGGACCGCCCCTGAGAGAACCCCGAGTGCGATCGGGCGTCAGCTGCGTTTATCTCGGTGGAGCGCGGACTTCTGCGGTCCTTTCGCTCAGGATCACGGTCTACGCGGGCGCACCTCCGGCGTTTCACCGCTGCTGATATCGCGGTGATTTTAGCAAATTTGTATGAAGAAAAACGAAAAACCCACCATTTCAATCCAGGTTAAAAAAGCATTGTGACGCGCGTTACTGACATTTGTACCAAGTAAAATAATACGCGCGCGGAGCAGCACGTCCTGTGCGTGTAGATTTCAGAAAATAGGATCCATCCTATTTTTTGACGCTCTACACGAGCGTAGGCGCGTATCCCCGTCAAAATCCACAGAGAGCATGTATCTATTGTTGTATTTGTGCATTTACCATCAGCACATTGTGCTCCCTGGGCAGTTCTGTATCATGTGAAAGAGCCCAGATCCACATACACTGTTAATTAGTGCTTTGAAATTAACTTTTGAAATCCTTGCGTTTGCCGTGGTCAGTCTGTACAGAAGGTAAATACAAGCAGCTAAACGCGCCCAGTCAAGTTTGATTGACTTCCCATTGAGAGACACAAGAGCCCGTATGTTCCGCTAAAGCTGCCGGTGGAGTCGCCTTCGCGTTGACACGCGGCTGTGGTTTCGCGAGGTGAAGTGCGAGCAGATCGTCACTCGTCAAATTCCGACGTTTAACTGAACCCCAACAGTGACGTACGTCGTTCATCACACATAATTTGAACAAATTCACGTTCAAGTTCTTGATTTACAAAAGTGTTGCGTTCAGTTCAAAGTTCACTGAAAAATGAACGTGTTCAGTGAACGCGTTCTTTTGAACTCGTTCATGCACAACACTGGCTAAAACAATATGTCAATCACTTTCTGGAAGATCCAATGACTGAAGAGATTTCCCGTAAACAAACTGATGACGCGTGCGTAAAGCCAGGAAGTACGTGAGTGCGTTAGCTTCTTCAGCGGCTTGTCCCACCTAAACCCCGCCACCGACAACAGCGGGGAGGGTCTCATTTTGAAGCTAAGAGTGTGAGGAAAACAAGCGTACCCAAGAGCGGGAGAGAAAGGGAAGTGAGAGCGGGAGAAGAGGCGGAGAAGAGACATAATATTTTCATTCACGGATTCATCCACTCATACGGACGACGGTTTTCTGGATTATTTCCCCACATGGAATTATTTTTTGGAAAAACAACTTGATATTCTTTTTCTGTGGATTATTACGGACTTATTGAGTACAACTTATCATGGATTGAACGCGTTTTGGACCGACAGAACCGGCTCAAAGTAAGAAACGCGTATCTTATTCTTTGTTTATGATGTGAATTTTTAAATTCACATAAATTCAGGCTCGTTGTACGGCATAAAATGAATGATATGGTTGTTTTATTGACAAATTAAGCTTTCAAACGATGTATGGCATGCCAGTAGTGAAAACAATAATGAAGGTGAATATACAGAGTGAACATTTTTTATTGGAAAATCGCCCGCCGGCGGGCGGGTGGATGGTAAGTGGTTTTAACTAAACTACTAACTTAATCAAAGTAACAAAAAGGCAAATAATTATAATACAGAAAATAACAAGTGACATTAAAGTGACCTTAAAGCAAACTAAACAAACTAACTTAATAAAACTAACTAAATAGTGCTCCCCCCCTCCTTGTTGAGTCCAAGGGTCCTCCATCTGGTGCTCAAAAAAACCCAAAAGAACAAATGTAAGTAAATCAGACTTATATTAACTAAAATATGTGCACTCAAATTAGAATATAAGTCTAAATAAAGGAATTAAATTATGTGTAATGCAATTAACTTAATGTAAATGAAATGAAATGAAATAATACTGACACTATGGAGTGGTGGCACAGGTATCCACCACAACGTCTTTCCCCTTGATAAAATTCACCATTCTCTTTGTTCCGGCTTTAAATCCTCGCTGATTGGCTGGTGCCCGAACTCGCGCTTCCAGGGTTTTTGCGAACCGTTTAGTGTATTTTGATTCCTGACCTAGTCGCTGGAGAGAAATTAAATTGAGCGGAGACACTAGGTGGCGCCAGCCTGACTACAGTTTTATTGCTTTTTCAGAGGAAGGAAACTTTTCTTATGCAACACATTTGATATTTTCACTGTTTTGATGATTAACTTTGCACAAGAAGTGGTTTACCTGAGTTTATTTTTTAGTGAACTGTATCGAATTGATTTGAAATATATCGTATCGAATCGAAAGCTCACTGTATCGAGGTATGTATCGTATCGCGGCCATTTGTCTCCAGTAGGTTAGACTACTGTAATGGTCTGCTCACTGGTCTCTCCAAACGAGCTGTGAGACAGCTGCAGAACATCCAGAACGCTGCAGCTCGGGTCCTTACTCGAACTAGGAAGTACGAGCACATAAGTCCTGTGCTCAGGTCTCTGCACTGGCTTCCTGTGCCTCAGAGAATAGACTTTAAAGCAGCTCTGCTTGTACAAGTCTCTCCATGGCCGAGCACCAAAGTACATCTGTGACATGTTAGTGTCATATGAACCATCTCGCACTCTGAGGACCTCAGGGACCGGCCTCCTGCTGGTGCCCAGAGTCAGAACTAAACAAGGGGAGTCAGCGTTTCAGGTTCATGCAGCTAAAACCTGGAACAGTCTTCCTGAACATGTGAGACAGGCCTCTTCTGTGACACTGTTTAAATCCAGGCTCAAAACATTTCTGTTTAACTGTGCAAATAACTGAAAGGTTTTCATTCCGCTCTCTTCTCTCCAATTTATGTCTCTCTTTTTTAATTTTAATCTTCATGATTATTTATGTTTTGATTTGTTTTTATTATGATTTTAATGTATTTCTTATTCTGTAAAGCACTTTGAATTACTTTGTGTACGAATTGTGCTATACAAATAAACTTGCCTTGCCTTGCCTTGCCTTGCCTATGTATCGAGGTATGTATCATATTGGCAACTTCTTAATGACACTCAGCCCTAATTGTAAATGTATCATTTTGATGTCTAACCTTGTGTACTACTAAATGGATGATGGTTTGTTTCACTGGCGTCTAACTGACCCTTCTAAGACTGTGGCTCTTAAACTCAATTTTTTGTGAACGCTAAAATGAGTAGCTCTCTGTTATTTTCATTTCGTAAAGGTTGGAGACTCCTGATATAGAACTTATCTGCTGTTAAGATCAGCAGCCCCATGCAAAACAAAACACGAATGACGGTGGTAGCGCCCACGGCAACTTTCACGATAAGGTGAACAGGCAACACCCAGTTTCCAACCTTAAATGTGTGTTGATGGAATCCTCTGGAGGACGGTCGTGTGTAGGAGGAGGTGCAGGTCTTTTCTCAGTCTAAACACCAGAAAAACGATCTTCTACTCAAGGCCTGGTGGATTATGGGATTTCAGGAACGCCCTCTTAGTGTTATAAAAGAGCAGAGCAGGCGTTGACCTCATCTGTGCACCTGCAGAGGAGCCTGGAGAACGGAGCTAGCACAATAATATACAGGTAAGTCTACACAGAACATCATAACTGTCTAAACTCTGCTGGTGCGTGGCGGAGTGAGCACTGCGAATGAGGCGAATGAGAATAGCTGCTAGTTTTCAGTTTATTAGAGATTCTTTGTTGAAGATATTTTACCCAGTAAAGTTTATAGATTTTAAAACCCGAAGTACAGGGTGCCCCCAAAAATATTACATAATTTTAAAAGCAATTATCTTGAAAACTACTAAGTCTAGCCCAGTGAAACTGAACAGTTTAGGAGTTGAACATCATAAGTTTTTTATTGGACTTTGGAAAAACTTTGCCAACTGGCAAACAAACAAAACACAACTCCAGGATTTTAGATATAATTTTTTTTTTATTATTTATAGATTGTTATATAGATTTTTGTTGTATATTCATTGAGAAAAAAAACACTGTAACATGATTAAAAAAAAATAATAATAATAAAAAAAATAAAAAAATAATAATAAAATGAAATAACAAAAACATCACATTCTTGATCCGACAGTGGAGAGTTGCGCCCAGCTGAGGATGCAGCAGCAGGTTGTCATGGCGACGGCGATGGCGCTGGTTGTCATGGCGACGAGGACGGCCCAGGTGGGGGCGCAGTGCGGCCTGATCCAGTGCCGCCCGGTGAACGACAGAATTGAAGTGGAGAGCTGCGGCATCAGGGAGAAGGTGGTCACCACCATCTGTGCCGGGAACTGCTACCACCAGGTACTGTGCCCATGTGCCCGCTGCTCATGCCAATCTCTGCTTACACTAGACACATGTGCCCGCTGCTCATGCCAGTCCCTGTAATCCATATACTCATGTACCCTATCGCCATGCCAATCTGACCACCAAGTACTGTGCCCATGTACCCTCTGCTCGTGCCACTCTAACCAGCAAGTACTGTGCCCACATGCCCACTACACGTTCCAGAGCTTAGGGCCGGCTGTCAAAATGGGCTGCCCCATCAAAATGAGCTCCTAGCAGCCTAAATCAGCAGTGACGTCTATCGATTTACACTACCCTGTTGAAATAAGCAACGTTTTTACAGTTGTATAGATCCAATAACCCTGACCTCCCCAGTTTGACACATGTTTCTTTGGATTAGAGACGTGGGTTTGATGCAGTTTGCACATGGTGATCACACTTTATACTTTAGTTATGAACAATCTCAACTCATTTATATGAATCTGCACAGTTCATTTTGACAGTTGTGTTCTGCTTTCGAATAGGGCTCCGACTAAAGGGAGCACATATAGACAGGACAATTTAGACATCGAATAATGCTGCTACTGTAGAATTTGTGTAGAGGAGCTCATTTCCACAGGCCGATATCTTCTATCAAATAAAGCTCCCACTATAGAAGAGAAAGAAATGACTGGAAACACTGAAATCTTTATATTATGGGCTACAGTGTAGGGCTGGATATCAGGAAGTAGTTGCCGATACGATACATATTTCGATACAGTGTGCTTTCGATTTGATACGATATGTTTCACATCATTACGATACAGTTCAATAAAAATAAAGCCTAACTCAAGTAAACCACTTCCTGTGCAAAGTTAATCATCAAAACAGTGAAAATGTCAAATGTTTTGCATAAAAAAAGTTTTCTTTCCCCAAAAAAGCAACAAAACTGTAGCTGTAACAAAATAATTAAGTAAAATATACCAAAAAATACGCGATACAGCATCCCACGATACTGATACAGTATCACCACGTTAAACGATACAATATATTGATATTTTGTAAAACAAAACTAAATAAAATATGATGTAATGAAAATGATACAGATAAAATCAAATATTAAATCCAAACTATTCAATCGTCTAACGTAGGTATTCTGCCGCAAATCCAACATGCACATGATGTTGTTTACATCCTTAACTTGTCAAAAGATACAATAAAACCAACACACTTTTAAAATGTCTACGGGTAGCTCAAACTGACAGGACACTGGCCACACTTATCTGGTTTTAAGTCTAGTCTTATGCCTCACGAGTTGGAGCCTCTTGGACCTCAGAGTAACTGTGGATGAGGTTCGAGATGTATTGCAAGGCGAGTCCATTCAAAACTTTAAAAAACAACAATTTGCTCATAGACATTTCCTAAGGGTGTTCATTTGACCTGTTTTACCAATTACTCTCTGTGTATCTAAGGCTACGTTCAGACTGCAGGGCTTAACGCTCAATTCAGATTTTTTTGTGAAATCCGATGTTTTTGCGAGGTCATTCACATTTCCAATTAAATGTGACTTGTATGTGATCTCCAGTGTGAACATTAAACGGCCCAAAAGTGTCCTGCATGTGCACTGGAGGACATGGACGCGAGCATTGAGCACTTGGCGATTTTAAAGTTCCTCTCGTACCGGAGCCAGAAGAGAACAGCTTACTTGTTTTAAGGCGGAGATAGAGAAGGAGGACGACGAGGTTTTTGGCCGTGGTGTTTTGTGGGACAGTGGCAGCGACGTCCGTTGAAAGGAACGTGTGGATGTGGAGACGGAGCCAAGAGTGGTGAGTGGAGATGTGCTTCACTTCAGTGACACAGAGTTCATTAACAATTTTCGCCTACTTCAGAGCAGAATAGTGACGTTTGTGTCTTGTTGATAACGTGTAGGTCAGATGAATGCGCTTTGGCCGTTCAGACTGAAGTCACATGTCAAAAGATCAGATATGTATCGGTTTTAGGAGCACATATCCAAGTGGCCTGGGTCACATTTGAAAAAATCGGATCTGTGTCGTTCAGACTGTCATTAAAAGATCAGATACAGGTCACACAGAAGCCAAAAAATCTGATTCGGGTCACTTCAGGCTGCAGTCTGAACGTAGCCTTACTAATGCAACACGATGTAATCATCAGGGTAAACTCCCCCTGTTCCCATGTGGGACTTTGCCGTCATCACGTTCTAGAATCTGAAACCACTGAAATGAACCTCTGATACGTTGTGTGCCGTGAACAGGACCCGGTGTATGAGGATTACCTGAACGTCCCGAAGCAGAACGTGTGCGTGGGGGACTGGCGCTACGAGACGCACGTGATCGAGGGCTGCCCGGTGCCCGTCACCTTCCCGCGGGCACACAGCTGCTCCTGCGGGCACTGCGCCTCCCAGTACGTGGACTGTGAGAGCTTCAGCCAAAACCTGCCCGCCTGCCTGCCCTACACCAATTAGACAAATAAAGACGTCCGTGATCAACTCTTCACCGTGTCTCTGCCATGTGTGCAATTATCTGACATTCATTCATTCTCAAACAGACAAGTTTATGGGCATGCACCACGCCAAATTTGTACTGGAAGTAAAAAGTAAAGTTATTAAGAAGTATAAAGTATTGTAGTAGTAGTAAAAGAATTTGCAAGCATAGTCAATGTAAATGACTATATTCTGCCCTATAAAGAGCTTAAATCTTCAGAGTGTGAAACTGAGAAAATCACTTCAAAATGTCAGTTTTGTCCAGACAAAAGTACAGAGGCTTTGCAGCGTCACGCGTCCCCATGGCAACGGGTAACAACGTCGCCATGACACCGGGCACACTATGTCATTGACTTCAGCAGCGTCGGAGAAACATGGGCAGGTTTTGTTGTGTATTTGGTTGTTCTAGACGCTCTGAAAGGGCGTTCCTCTGGAAATTACTCATCAGGATCAAACAAGGGAATTATCGAAAAAAAGACGCGGATTATGGCTAGCAAAAATAAACCACAAAGAGATTTCCAATGGTACCATCAAGACACCCGAAGTTTTATCAAGGTATTTGCTATTTAAAAAGAGTCTGTGAACCGAACCGCGAAAGAATTGTCCATGAAAAGATCCTCATGAACATTAGAAAGATCCACACGTAAAAAGGGATTAATTGTAGAAGACATAGTTGTGGATAAACAAGACAATAAAGAAAACATGGGTCCTGCGACGAGTGACATGTTTATATGTGCGCTGGAAGATACAGTTTCTACTGCAGCTCACACTGCAAATGTTTTCTTTTTACATTTTAGTTCAGTAAATGTGCTTCTCTCATTAAATAAACTATGAAACTATTTAAATAGCAAATACCTTGATGAAAGTGACGTGAGTGTGTCTTGATGGGACCATTGGAAATCTCTTTGCGGTTTATTTTTGCTAGCCATAATCCGCGTATTTTTCCGATAATTCCCTTGTTTGTGCTCCTGATGAGTCATTTCCAGAGGAACAGTGAAGAAACAAATCGTTTTATCCTTTTCAGAGCGTCTAGAACAACCAAATACACAACAAAACCTGCTCATGTTTCTCCGATGCTACTGAAGTCAATGACATAGTGTGCCTGGTGTCATGGCGGCGTTGTTACCGTTGCCATGGGGGACGCATGACGCTGCAAAGCCTCTATAATAGGCAGGGCTCCCAAAATTTGACTAGAAAACTAGTTGCTATAATGAAGAAATATTTGTATGAAAAAAATATTAATAATAATAATAATAATAATACATTGGACATATAGTGCTTTTTTGGACACTCAAAGACGCTTTACAATTAAAAGTAACAATGTAGAAAACGGGGGAATCATGGTTGGAACATCAGTTTGAACAGGTGAGTTTTTAGATGTGATTTGAAGAGCTGCACTGAGTTCGAATTCCTGATGGATTGTGGGAGTGAGTTCCAGAGGGAGGGGGCGGCAGCAGCGAAGGTTCCATCCCCCAAGGTCCGGTGCTTTGTCCTGACGAGGGGAGTGAGGAGGTTGGTGTTGGCTGATCTAAGGTGGCGGGTGGGATAGTGCAGACGGAGGAGGTCGGTGAGATAGGGAGGGGCCAGGTTATGGAGGGACTTGATATTGAGCTCAAAATTGACCTTTGACTCTTCTTTGTCAGGTTCCTGCTCTCTGTTTTTGTATCATGAGACAAAAATAAGTTTTCGTGCAAAGGCAAAAGGCAGGAACTGACATGATCATTATTATTTGTTTGATTTTCCCTAGACTTCCATCCATTATAAGAAAAACACCTCACCAAGCATCATGGAGTTTGTCTGAAATGATATAGAAGTGTTTTGGATTTTCCTGTTTAGTGTTGATCAGAATCGTGCGGCGACTCTGCAGTATAGTGTGTACAGTATGAATAAATACACACAATATTTTCCCTTTAAAGATCACTGAAGTATAACTGAATACAAAGGTTTATTTATTGAATGTGTTAAGACCCTGTGCCAAGACCACAACAAAAAGGAGGAGGCGACAGGCTGGATTTTAAAATAAAATATTTTTATGAACTAAATCAGAAACAACACATAAACAGTTACTGTCTTTTGTCTTTGCACGAAAACCTATTTCTGGCTCATGATACAAAGGCAGAGAACAGGAACAGGAGGGTCAAAGGTCAATTTTGAGCTCAATATTTTTAACAATATTTAGTCATTTGATAAGCTCTCAAATACAAACAAAATGACATGAACTCATTTTGACCAAACATGTTACCGTGTTGTGCCTTTGTGAAGCAGCATTGATACTTTAATGTCATCAACATGACCTGGTGCTAAGTGTAAGCACTGCTCTGTCTGAGGTGTGAGGTTTATTTGAACACAATCTCACCAGAAAGCATTGACTTAGTTGGACGTACAACAGGTGAGTTGATCTGTGCTGATAAACAAGTCCCTCACACATTCAGTTCCAAGCTGGTTCAACAGTTCTTCAGTTAGTCACTCTCAGGCCCGTTTCAAGGTCTTTGGGGGCCCTAGACAAAGAGGTACCTGGGGCCCTGCCTGGTGAAGACCCTATGAGCACAAAATAAGATTAACACAATACCAAATGTTTACTGTGTAGACACATACACAAATAACTTCAAAAGGCAATCAAATAAATGATTATGACTAAACTTCTAGCTCTATTCTAGTGTTTCACAAAGTGTTTCTAAAAATTGCTTGTTTTGGATTCCCTTTGCGGCCTCTAGTACGTACAAGACACTAGGATGAAAGCTATGCCACCCTCGCTGAAACTAACTCATGAACTAGAGCTCTGCATAAAATGACCGAGTCAAAATGACCTACCTACTACAAAGCCAAGCAAACTGACTCAATCTCGCATTTTTATTGAAAATCACAGACTCCTGAAAATGTGTTGTTTAAATCCATTTTGTTTTTTTAATGAGTTTTTAGACTATCTTACAACTTTTTGTTAGTTTTGGTTAATTCTTGGGTGGCATCACGCCATATTTTTTAATACAGATGGGGGCAGCTAAAGTTAATATTGTTCAACTGCAGATTTTTGTTGTAATAGCATGGTCTTGGGTCTACTCAGTCATAGAAATGATCAGGTTCCATATTTGGGAATTTACCTTTTAGATACTTCATGGCAAAGTACAATGAAATCAGCAGACCCTTATCTGAGAGTACAACATCACCACTAATGAACATACTGCTAAAAGAGATACTTGTATCACCCCCAGTGTGATGTCTCTGCAAAGTATCAGTAGAAAATAAAAACTGGTTCAAATTTCATTGTAAATTTCCGTCCAGTTTCTTACATTATTGTGGAAAATAACGGGATCCTCTTTTTACACAGCAATTCCCAAAGTTGTCAATAGAGGGCACTGTGACACTACAAATTACTCTCATAGAGGCGATGGAAGATGACAAAATACAAACGTAAAAGTACACCACTTAAGTACAATTTTTAGGTATATAGTATTTTACTTTAGTACATGGATGTGGGCTCTTGGGCAAGACACTTCATCCATTTTGGAATGATTGTGGTTTGAACAGATCTGTGTAATACTTAAGCACTTCCTAGTAGTATGAAAAAATCATGTTGAACAATATTAAAACTTTTTTTTTTAACAACAAAAACACTGATATAATTAACACACACAGGCAGGATAATAATATAAGATAATAATATAACACTTTATTGCAACTATGAGACAGACATACTAACAAGTTCTGAAGAAATAATGTTATAACTCAGTCATTTTACTTCCCCTTTATTAGAAAAAAGGTTGTTTGTTTATTTTGTTTTTTTCTTTCCTCCACAAACTGACACACTGACGCAAACACTGGAGCAATAACACAGTGACTTAGTGACCACAGCGGTTCAGTAATACTGTTGTTGTGTCCTTGGGCAAGACTCCATCTGCTTTGTCTCAGTGTGAGTGATCGGTGGTGGTTGGAGACGCAGTTGGTGATGCAATTTTATGTCTTTTATATCGCATGGCTGATATTCTTCGGTCTCATTTCTTACATCGAGCTTTTTACTAAACTAGAATTAACAAAAGTTGGGTAAGGGCACTTTAAAGGCACTGCACCTAATTTTACCATCTTAAAAATGTGAAAAACTAAACGAGTTATTAGGTACTAACAGTTTGCGGAGCTCCAAAGTTGTTCTTCTCTTACCTTATACATTTTGAACATCCTAATTATTCACTGTGATGAGTTCTTGAGCGCTTTTTTTTAACTCCCAGAGACCAGAGTGGGGTTTTGCCGTCACAGTAATGACATCAACAACTAGCATGCAAACTAGGGATGGGCAATATGGCCACGTCACACTTCTTACATTCTGTATTTTGCTTTTGCCTAAAAATGCGTTCTACTCAGATGCAGACAGAGCAGCTGACTTAAGGCCTATTCATGCAGGAGAAGTTTTCCGCACTACAGGGCGCACTTAAAAGCCTTTAATTTCATCCAAAAATGACTGCGCGCCTTATAATCCAGAGCGCCTTATATATGAATTTATTGGGGTGTCTTAGTACGACTTTAGTAAACTACAAAGCTGCATCACCTGCATCACGGAGTAATACATACTGTGATTCCTTTGAATATCAAAATGTACCTGTCAAGAGACACGCTTACAATGCTCACTTTAAACTCAAGGCGTTTTTTAAGTGAAAGTGCGAGCTGCGTGGGAGCAGTGGATGAGAGAAGAACACACATTCACCAAGACAGAGAGACAGCGCCGAGCGACTTCTGCCACGATCTGCCAAAGGATCAGTATCAACTGTGGTCCGAGCTTTCACCAAGACCAGAATCATCACTGAACTGCCAGGGAACAGTAACCACACTGACTCGGATAATGAGGAGAGGGATGTGGGGGTGCTGGACACCGGAATCACCCAACAGTTTGAACAATTATGAGTTATTGAGAATACAATACAACAATTTAGCATCTCAGACAGTATTTACGCATTACAATTGAACAAAGTTGAGAGTTATTGTGAACGCATTAAATACAGTTTGACTGACTTATCTAACTGTTGTGTTTCATTTAATGCACCTTATAGTCCGGTGCGGTTTATATGTAAAAAAAAGTTCAAAAACAGATCATTCAATGACAGTGCGCTTTATAATCCAGAGCGCCCTATAGTTTGGAAAATACGGTACAACCTGGGGATGTCTGGTCATTTGCAAATTACCGCCCCATCCCTGTGTTACTTGCAGCGCATTCGCACAGGATAAGCAAAGTCCATAAATGACTATTTTACTGACATTGACTGAGATTGAAATAGAAAAGAACGCGGAAGGAAAAGGAAGAGATAGAAAAGACGCAATTACAACAACAAACACCAAGATGCAGATTCGCACGGGACTAGTATTATCACCAGACAACTGTGTTTGGCAAAATGTGGTTGGGCATTTGCGGTGGAATTTTTACTTTACAAATTACACACATGGTGCATTCACACGGGATTAAGATCTCAGGCATCCTTCAAAATTATTACAAATCACCAAAAGTCCACAGGTAAATCTAATCCCGTGCGAATAGGTCTTAATTTTAACCTCAAGAGCTTTTATAATATATCTGTACTGAGACAAAATACATTCTACTCAACAACAAAAAACAAAATATACCAAAAAAAGATCAGGTACAACCAGTATTCTTTATGGTCCATCCAGCTGAATAAATAGCTAGAACGAATAAACGCATAAAGTTTTATTAGAAGTTCGAAGAGGGCACCGTAAAAATGTGATTACACTCCTCTCTTCTCCAGTTTGTAGTACAACAAGATCCAAAAATATCGGAAATATGCGCTTATGGATCATCAGTTTCTCTCGATTCAAAACAAGCGGCACATGAAAAACCCCGTATCGTTCGATCTCTGTGCTGCACTTGGAGTCGTTACACTTCCACCACAGGCAGAATCGGGCGCAAACCTGCTGACAGATTCGTTTCAAAGGCAGCGCAGTCCGTGTACAGCGCTCACACGGCGTACTTGTTGCGTATGATCTGCCCGCCCTCCACCTCCACCTGCTCGTATAGCCACTTGCGGTCACAGCGGCACTCCACCCCGCACTTCCTGGAGCCGCAGTCAGGGCAGGGGAAGAAGCAGCCCATGCAGTCCACGTCCAGGCAGTCGCACAGGTCCTTCCCGTTGGACAGCAGGCGGCCGCTGGCGTCGTACACTTTGCTCTTAGCGTTCAGAGATTGTCTAGAAGGAGGGAGGAAAAAGTGAATTCGTTTGGAGAAGAATTTTACAGGTTTGGAGTGATAGGGCTAGGAACAGTCAGCTCAATGGTCTGGAACAATTTATACTATTTTTGGGTTAAATGGTAAGTATTAAAAGTGTACGTAAATTATGTTTTGAAAATGAATAGAAATTTGCCATTTTATTTTCTTGTAGAAAAACAGAAATACAATTTTATCAGAGAATCAAATCAAAGAATAGGTCATATTAAACAGCACATTTTACTGCACTCACTAAAAAAAATAACGTGTTCAGTGACACAGAGATTCTTTCTGGCTTTTTTCTTAAACAGACTAATGTTAAGAATGATCTCACCTGTCTGACATCTGCCGACGCCCTCCTCGACCCTGTGACAAAAAACAACACACGTTTGACTATATAGATATATAAGATAAGCAGGAAATTTTGCATTTGTATACGTACTGTCTACACTGTATAATTTGTATATCAAGGTCTGTTTTGTATTTACCTTATTTGAATAAATGCCTTTATTGTTTTATTGAGTTTTATTGTTAGTCTTTGTAAATAACCTATAGTATAATCTGTCTTGGTTAAAACCTCTTGTGACATTTTTTTATTATTATTTTTATATTGCACTATTTTCTGTTGTTAACCATTAACTTATGTATTTATGTTTAGCGCTTTTATTTTGAAGGGTTTATTTTCATTTAATTACCTTGACAACGCGAACGGAAAAATGTTATACGGAGCAAATGTGTACACATATATTTTTTGGTATTTTCTATGTCTTTGTTTAGCTTCCCCTCTGAAAAGGCACAAAGGTATTATTGATTATTGCACAAAGGTATGTTATTGATTTAAATATTTCTTTGAATAACTTTGTGTCTCTAGCTGTTATCGTTGTTGATTGATGTTGTCAAGATGAATGTAAATAATAATCAAACTGAGTTTTGTGTATGTGTATTTACACCCTGTATTTTGTATTCTTTTGACCTCTTACAACAGATTGGTGGATTTATTGCCATTAAATCTAAAAATCGCCAGTTGAAGTGTCAGTCTTCATTCAGAGTTGTACACTACAGTCTTAGTTTAATGTTGAACCATACATCACCGAAGCTAATTCCTAGTTTGAATTTGGTTCACTGCCAATGACAATTAAACTCATTCTGATGTGACTGATAGACACAGAACATAGACATGTGCAGTGGACAGTAACACATACCCGGCCCCCTCCTCTCTTCTCTCTGCGGGGGTCTGTGCTCCTCACTGCTTGTTGTGGTGCCTGGGTTGGGGGATTGTCCTTTGATGGCACACCCCTTTTGCGCAGTTCAATCTGGAAAGTTTAAAATAACATGATTACGTTGCAAAACATTGCATAGCAATAAAAGAACCTTAACTATTAACATTTAAATATTGAATGTTTTCAGTTGTCAATAGTCCTCAAAAACACATCCATAACAGAGAAACTACTGAATGAATAAGAAAAGTAATATCATGGTCTCATCTGCATAGTATGATTATGACAATACTACTTTAGTTTCACTACAGAGAAATACTGCTTTTACTTTAAAAAAAAAAAAAAAAAGACAAGAAGATTATTATAAAATCATAATTTTATAATTACAAAGATAATTCAGTGACTTCATGTTGGTAACATGAAGAACAAAACCAAAAAACATAGTCCATGTGGTGTTAATATAAGCACTTTAGCCCAAGCAGGTCATGACCAGGTTGTCATTGTAAATTTGGATAAATAGGTTAAATCATTGTTTCCCAAAGACTGGGTCACGATCCTCAGCTGAGTCGCAAGAGATTTTTTTCTGGGTCACCTTGTCACGATCTGCATGTAGGTCTGAAATATACAGTTCTGACACATGAGAGAGCGAGTGAGTCAGCGAATCCAATTTGCCTGCCCTGAAAGAGTTCCTGCAGCTAAAGTTGAGAAATGTTTGCTTGGTTGTCCAAAAAAGAAGGTGATAAATCAGCAAAGGTCAGTGCACTTCAGGATACTTATGGATCATTTTATTGCTGCTTCAATGACTGAGTAATACTAATTGTTCAGAGAAACTCAGTCAACAATAAAATATCCTCATTAATGTTCAATAATGGTCAAATCCACCTTTATTTTGTGATTTATGTATAATGTCTCTTGACTTGGGTCATGAAGGTTTGTGACTTTTAAAATATGGGTACCTAGAAAAAAAGTTTGGAAAACACTAGATTAAATAATACAAATAAATAAGTGGCCTGCTATATAGTGAAAGTCTATGGATGAAAACACATGATGTCCCAGTATGTCATGTATGTTGTGTGCTTTACCCGGGAGCCCTCGTGCCCGTGGGTGTAGAGCGTGGGCACAGCGTCCTCTCTCAGGAACTGTTTTCCATTGTAGTCTCTGAAGCAGTCGGCTCTGAAGTGCTCCGAGCACAGGCATGTGTTGGGTGTCGGGACAAAGTTCTTCAGACCCAGATTGCTCACCCATTTAGTGGACAGCTGCGGTTTACTCAGAGGAAACCTACACACAAGAGATCAAGTACAATTAGATGTTACACAATTCAACAAATGATCAGATCTGTTGATATGTGCTCTCTGGACGTGCTGGAGAAAAATAGCAATTTTTTTGACAAGCATTGCAATTGTGATTAGATTTGCAATTTATGATTTAACAACAGGCTTCTGTTCAGAGTTGTTATGACAGGTAAAAAATACAGGGTTTAGCAGCTTTATGTGGAATAAGAAAAAAATATTGTGTTCTGCATCCATTCAAGTTGATTTTGGATTTGTTTGCATTTAATTTTGCAACCTCAGAGAAGAGGATTTATCACCAACCCACACAGGGCAGTGTCAATGTCAAAACACAGGAAGAATATATTTGTTTTTTTAATAAATAGTGAAAGAAACTGTTAAGAAGTCTTCAGGTTCTGTAGTATTTTGTGATCTGTTGATTCATTCAGTGTTTTCATAATTAATTAGACAAGTACCGCATATCAAGTGTAGTGCAAAACAGAGAAAAGTCTTTTCATGTCATTGTATTCATGTTCATATTAATTTTTAAGTAATTGTATCAGCAGCGAACCGAATAAAGTACTGATAGTTGTAAAAATAAATAAATAAATAGCAACCATAACAGGTGAGGTTAAACTACTATTGCAAAATGAAACCAATGGAGAAACACAAAAATCAGACAACGACGTAAATAAAAGACAAGGCAATAAACTATAAGAATAATGTCAACTATTTAAAAATATTGTTATTGATAAAAATGTGTGCTCACTATCTGTAACTGACACCACCATAGGAAAAGTTTGTTTTAGTCATGTTCGTAGGAAAAATTGGAAAATACGTGCTCTATTCCAACAAGAGGTTACCTCTATACCCTCTGCCAGGTTTTACTGGAGAAATTTTGTCCCTGACACTATATGGAAGAAAGGATGGACTGTGAATCAAAGATTTATGATAAATAATAAGATGAGGGATGTTTCCTTTAAACTAACTACCAATTTATGTTAAAATATATTAAAACAATTGATCCTAACTGCACATTTTGTAAAGAATATCCCGAATCAATAAGTCATCTTTTTTTGGAAATGCACTATTACTAAAAAAATTTTGGAAAGACTGCTTAAAATTTGTCAAAGATCATACTGACCCTAACTTTTCATTAAAATTTGAACATATTATTTTTGGTGTACATGAAAATAATTTTGACTCAAATAAAAGAATGGCAATTAATTTAATTATTGTATTTGGCAAATTTTATATAAACAAATGTAAATTCTCTCACACTTCTTTATTTTTTTCCTGTTTTAATTAAGCAATTAGAATTATACCTATCTTCTATCTCTATCAGTGTAAACAAAAAAGCTGTACTGACATATGAAAGTTGTATGTCCATGAATATTTTTGTATGAATGTAACAGTGGCGATTATGCTTTTCTTCCAAGTATGCTTCCCCCTGGCATTCAATTTGTTATGTTGTGTGTATGTTGTTATGTTATTTTCTGTATCACCATTTGTCATTTAATAAACTAATTTTTGATATAGAAAAAAAAAAAGAATAATGTCAAATATGTAGGAATAAACCTTTGTATTGCAGCTATTGTTGATCAGAAATTCCACAAGAGCATGAAAAGATCAGATCTTGCACAATAAGCAGATTATAGAAAACAAAACTGTACTTTTGAGGAATAGTTTTTAATAATCTTGAATTAGAATGCTAAATCTAAATAAAAGCCTGCGCACTTCTCGTGTTTCATCACTCACCTGTAAAACCTGATGTCCGATCCTTTCACGAACTTGTTGTTGCAGCCGATGGCGGCACAGATCACGGGCATGTTCGATGTAATTGGGGAAAAAAAGACTTTATAAAATAGTTAAAAAGCCTAAACACGAACAAACAACAAACCCGAGAAAAGCATGCGAGGACTTCCTGTTTACTCTTCTTCCTCTACGGGGCGTGGGTTTACTCGCCGGTGCCTCTGGTGGCCGAAAAAGGTAGTGGTATTGGCAGGTTTGGGCCGCGTCTCTTTTCTCTTTCCTCGCTTCCTTCTCCTCGCGTCCTTCTTCTCAATTCCTCTCCTCGTTCCTCCATTTTTCAGCTGTCAGTCAAATTAGCCATATTAATTAGTGACCTCTCCTTCTCCTCATTTCTCTGCTCTTCTCCTCCCCTCTGCTCCTCTCTCCTCTCCTTTGCTCCTCTTTCCTCTTCTCTGCTCCTCTCTCCTCTCCTTTGCTCCTCTTTCCTCTTCTCTGCTCCTCTCTCTTCTCCTCTCCTCTTTCCTCTCCTTTGCTCCTCTCTCCTCATCTCTGCTCCTCTCTCCTTTTCTCCTCTCTTCTCGGCTACTCTCTCCTCTCCTCTATTCCTCTCTCCTCTCCTCTCCTCTGCTCCTCTTTCCTCGTCTCTGCTCCTCTCTCCTTGTCTCTGCTTCTCTCTCCTAGTCTCTGCTCCTCTCTCTTCTTCTTCTCTGCTCCTCTCTCCTTTTCTTACCTCTCCTCTACTCCTTTCCTCTCCTTTGCTCCTCTTTCCTCTCCTTTGCTCCTCTTTCCTCGTCTCTGCTCCTCTCTCCTCATCTCTGCCCCTCTCACCTCTCCTCTCCTCCTCTTCTTTGCTCCTCTTTCCTCTCCTTTGCTCCTCTTTCTTCTTCTTTTCTCCTCTGCTCCTCTCTTCTCTCGTTTCTCCTCGGCTCCTCTTCCCCGCTCCTCCTCCTTCCTCTCCTCTTCTCCTCTGTTCCTCTCTCCTCGCTGTCTCCTCTCTCCTCGCTGTCTCCTCTCTCTCCTCCACTACGATGATGATGGATTTTTCTCTTTCCTGCTGTTTCTGTTCACATCTGTCACTCTTACAGTTTTTCAAATATTCAAGTAAACAGAATAACTGGAGTGAATAGTGAATGTCTCCCTCTAGTGGACACTTTACTTCTCACTTCTGCAGTACGCACATTTAACCACAAGATGGAGCCAATGTTCCTCTTACTTATACTTCTACATGCAGTTACTTTTTCTCAGTATTTTAAATGTATTTGTTTGGAGGATAAACCCCAACAAAAATTAACACAACCAACTAAATTAATACAAGCACACACACACACTCACACATGACTTTTAGACTCAAGATAAGTAAAATTTGAACAAAAACTACATTGAAATATGATCACAAAAATACTCAACAAAACAATAACAAAACAATGACACAGGTGATGTAAATATTGAACCATTTTTAAATGACGGGACAGTGTGCAAATCAGAGCTTTATATTTTAAAAAATCTAGCCAAGTTAAGATGACTTGAATTAAGAAAGTTTTATCACGATTGGAGTAAATTTCACTTGAAACGTAAAATGATCTGCCAGTGGAACACGACTTTTTGTACTTAACATATGAAAATTATGGAAGCCCAGAGAGGCAAGAGAGAGAATTTTTTTATTTTTTTTTCCACTGACTCAAAAAAAATAAATAAATAAAAAAAATCTCTTGCCTCTCAAGGCTTCAGTAGAAAATACATCTTGCTCCACTTAAAATAAGAAAAATAACTACTTTTTGCAGTTAATTCAAGCAAAATTTGATTGTTTCTTATTTTAAGATAAACACACTTATTCCATAGATACATCAAGAATTTCAGACTTCTGGTCATCAACCAATGCATACTGGGAAGGATCCTCCGAAAAAGTGAGCATCAAACCGCCATGTTTGTTTTCCCAGTGGGATGCGTTTATTGACAGAGCCAATCTTTTTGAGTCTTTTGAACCATATCACTTTTGTTTCTGGTTCTGATATTGTCATATTTTAGTTTTGGGATTCAGACATTGTAACTGTGTGGTTGTTGGATCCTAACAGCAGAAAACAGCTCGAGAAATTTGTTTGTGAACTCCATAAATGCAAAAGGGAATCAGATGTGTGTGACTGCAAACCTCTGTTCAAACTGTTTTCCTTCCCAACGGAACTGAAAAATGTCACACAGTGGGAACTGATCCAGGTTCAGCCATTCTGTATTTTTTCACCAAGTTTTCAAACAGTCTTAAAACACTTTTTTGTTTGTGTTTGCTAATGTGTGCACTGTGTCACCATGGTAACTGCTGAACATTCCACCAATAGAGATACATGTAGAACACCCTCAGTGTAATTTCAGGTTGAAGGTGATATGACACTGTAGAATCTCCCACCTCCGCGAGCTCAGAGCATCACACTCTGTCTCACCTACAGCCCACTGTGACACACTGAGTGTGTCCTGTGTGTGTCCTGTGTGTGTCCTGTGTGTGTCCTGTGTGTGTGTGTGTCCTGTGTGTCCTGTGTGTGTCCTGTGTGTGTGTCCTGTGTGTGTCCTGTGTGTGTTTGTGTGTGTGTCTTGTGTGTGTCCTGTGTGTGTCTTGTGTGTCCTGTGTGTGTGTGTGTGTGTGTGTCCTGTGTGTGTGTGTGTGTGTGTGTGTGTGTTTGTGTGTGTGTGTGTGTGTGTGTTTGTGTGTGTTTGTGTGTGTGTTTGTGTGTGTGTGTGTTGTGTGTGTTGTGTGTGTGTGTGTGTTTGTGTGTGTGTCCCCTCATGTGGCAGGTCACTATAGGACAGTAGTGCAGACATCATGAGCCTATGTAGGTTGTTTTCACCAGTGACATTTAAGCTGTAGGCGATTTTATATTTGTTATTTTCTTTTATATTTCACGTCGGGAGAAGAATTTCTAAGATACGAATGTGTTTTTACCTGTGCACTGCTGACTCTGTTCTACTGGCTCTTCCACCTCGTCCACTGAGCGACTGACACCGCCAACGTTAACATGACGTTTACATCGCTCTTATTGCGCACATTTTGTGTGGGTTTCCGGCAATGAGTGGAATTACCGAAATAAAAAAATATATAAATGTGTTTTTGTGTGTGTGTGTGTGTTGATGTCCCAACAACAGATTTTATCATAAAGCAACTCGCATACAGAAACAGTAAAGTTAGAGATAAAAAATGAGATTAACGCGATTAAAAAACATAACGCGCTAAATATGACTGTAATTAATTAATCGCAATTAACGCGATAATTTGACACCCCTAATTTGAAAACAAAACAAAACAAAAAAATAAAATAAAATAAATAAATAAAAATACAGAAAAAATAGTTTAGCATGTAAAATTATAAACATAAATGATCCAAAAGTATTTGAACTGTAGGTACAGCAGACCTATTGTACAAAATGGACTTTACAGACCTTTGAACCATGTTATAGTAGTTTCTTGTCACACTTGACTCACCTGAAGTTGTATTTGAAGTGATTCGTGCATGTTGGAGTCTTCTGTAATCGCTGATTTTCAAGACACCATTTTGCCCATCACTGCTCTGTGTTTACTTCATCCTCCAGATTTATTTTCTTCATCAGTGATACACGTGGCGTAGTCATGTTGGTACAAATGTAAAGAAATGTTCTGTTCTGGTGTGATGTGCAGAGGAGGCGGGGCCACAGCCTGCGGTGCTTTGTTGTCATGACGTTTACGGCGCCGTCCGCTCCCGTTGGACACCACAGTTTTCTAACACGGAAGTCAGCGGACAGTGTTTCCTTTATTAAGTTTAACACGTAGATCCTGAATATTTAGGCTGAGTTCTTCTCTCAAACATGAAAACACTCTGTTCCACCTCATGTGGTAATACAGGAAGTGCTCCACTGTGTTTTTAAACTCCATAAACCTTCACTTGAATTATTTGGATCATTTCAACCCTGGAATTGCAAATCTTTACTAAACAAAACATAAAAGGAGCTGTTAAATTTAAAACTATCACAAGGTGGAGCAGAGCATTTTGAGCTTTAGGGATGTAAACAGACTAATAATAAAGAGTTAAACGTGTGATGAATGAAACAAAACACAACTCCAGGTCTGTTTTAGATCAGGTAACAACATTAAAACATGACTTAAAGTTCAATTCTGTGTCATCTCCAAACTTTAATTCACAAAGTATTTGAATAACACAGAGCACTGATTTGTACATAAAGGAATATAACACACGTTTGTATTCTTTTTATGTGATTCATACACTGTATATGGACATAGCTAATAAGATAACGCGCTAGTCACCGCGTTCCAAATAGGAAGTGAACATGGTGCGGTGATCCCAGAAACTCAGGGCAGACGGGGAGAGTGTGGGACATGTGACGGCACAGAGAGAAACAGTTGTGTAGAAGTGAGGAGGCATCACAGCAGGACGTCTGCTCACTCACATGGAAATATATTTGTCACAAGCTTTGGTTGTTATTATTAAAAATGTAGATTAAAAGATGAATTCTGTTAAAATGTCTGTAAACTGTTTAAATCAAGGGGAGAGAGCCACTGCAGCACCAATAAAGAAAGCCGAGAGTAAAAGTATAAATCATTTTTTACAAGGTTAAAAAAGAAATACAAATTAAAAAAAGGATTCTCAATAAAAACAGTTTTAAAAAGGGGTTAAAACACTTGGTGGGCCAAAGTTAAAAAGAGGGGGGCAGTGCATGGGTGTGATGTAGGGGGTCAGCAGCCTCACAGTTCCACTGAGACATATCACATATTCATTATGTAACGCCAAGTTTTACTTTAGTTTACTACTTTGTAGGACAAAGCTTCTACTGCACAGAATCCATGCACAGTGACTGGATTATTCATATCTAATACATTTTATAAAACAGTAGTGGATTTAACTTAATAACAATGTTCTGGACTGATCGCTCTGGGTCATTCAGACATGATGAGACGATTGTAAAGTGCTTAAGGACCAAACACCTTCCTGTTCCAGCAGACAGGACTGTGAGAGCAGCAGGCCTCTACGTGAAGAGTTCTGTTAATAACTCAAACTGTGACTGTGTGATTGATGCTGATCTGACCTGCCCCAGGAGTGACTGCACTCAACTGTAAAGTGACTTTGGACGTGTCCTGAGTTTATTTAACAAGGAAAGTCACGCAGAGATTAAGGGTGAGTTCAGACTAAACCTGCTCCTGGTTTGATCCTGG